CCATTTATTTGATCAACCAACCAAAGGTATAGAGCTTTCACACCACTTATGAAGTCAGAATTGGAAAATGTTAGATGGATCATTATTAAAATACACAAAATTATCAATTGAAGCTTCAAATTTCCAAATATTACTTTTGTCAAGAGGCAACTTTCTCAAAACCAACACAGCTCATGCATAAAAAACAGACAATATTTGATAATCTCTCGATTTTTATCCATCTTAATTAAAGAAAAACCCATATCAAACAACAAAAATAAATTAATAACAAAAACCAACATGCAGATTTTATTAAACAGAATCATGTAACTACAGAATATAGCTTCATATGCAATAAGAAAATATAAAATAAAACTGAAAATTCTAATTATTACAGGGCTTACTATTCTGGATTCATGACGCTTTAAAATTCGAGATCGATTCGAATAAATGAAGACACAGTGACACACAGAACAAAAGAAGATTTTTAATTTCCTGGCGGATTTTTTAGTTGATGTTCTTAAAAGATGCCTTAAATGTCTGAAGTAAAGAGGTGGATGCCATGACGTGGCAATCGGACATTATCCACAAGTAATAGCATTTGATGTTGAACAATTCATACGAGAATTAAACCGATAACTTGACTCCATTGAAAATTGAACAAAAACCGTGAATTGGCCCATTTCTTGCTCATATCAATTGAAGTCTTTGGAGAAACTTCGCAATGGCGGTTGCAATCACAATCATGTTACGTGTACATTAACTTTTATATCTTTATTTTTATATATTGTGTCAAATGACAAAACATCGTTGCATAATTTAGAAACAAAAATAGTTTTTCCGCCCACAATTTTCAAAAAAGAAAGTAAATGTAAAGGAAAGAGTGTATATTTAACATTATTGATGTAATTAGGGTATCTGTACCTTAATCCGAAACTGAAACCTATACCCGTGGATAGATAGAATATACCTAGAGACTTGTTATTTAAAAATTCATTTTTATTTAAACTAATTTTTAATTATGCATTCATTTAATAAAAGAATTATATATGTAAATCCAAAATTTTTCATTTTTTTTAACTACACATTCTTCAAAAAATCATTTTTTTCCACTCAAACAAGCCCTTAGGCTGTGTTTGATAGAGTGCTTTTTCCATGGAAAATGGAAAAAAAAATTCCATTTCCACCCTAACTCTTGTTTGATATACAAAATTTGGCATGAAAAATATTTTCCCACGCCCCACCCACGCGCCCCTTTTCCAGCAAAACAAGGAATTCTTTTTCCCAACTTTTTGGTGGGAAAAAGGAATTCCAGCTTCTGGCCTTTTTTTTTTTTTACAATAGAAATAAATTTCATAACCAATTGTAAAAAAAAAAAAAAAAAATAAAAATAAATTAAAAAAAAAAATGTAAAAAAAAAATAAACGAAAAAAAAACATTTATAAAAAAAACGCCTGAATTCCTCTAAATAAGTTCCAACTTGCTGGTCATTTTTATTTTTATTTTATTTTTTTGACAATGGAAATAAATATCATACTCAATTGTAAAAAAAAAAAAAATTCACTTTAATGGATAATTTTCATGTAAAACGAAGTCAAACGAACACTAATTTTAATAAAAAAAAATAGTTTTCGAGCAAATTTTTTTTTTTTTAACTTTTTGGCAATGGTAACAAATTTCATAACCAATAGTAAAAAAAATTTTTCACTTTAATTG